GTAGGCGTGAGCGAGGGACCGCTGCAGGCACAGCCCTCGCGGTCTCACAATGCAACTGCGCTGGGATGTCTTCTGAGTCGGTTGAATACGGGGCGTCCCATGGGACGGGGTGGGGCCCTCAGGGGCCATTGCGAGAAAGGGAAAAGATGAGACAAGACAGGAATCGAAGCGAGGCGTCCCAGCTGTCTCCACCGGCCGGTCACAGCGGTAACACGGCGGACGTACCCATGGATCACGAGTTGTTGCAGAAAGGCTGCAACGGCAGCGACGGCAGCAACAGCAGCGACAGTAGCAACAACGGCAGCAGCAGCAGCAGCAATGGTGGCGGCAGCAGCAGCAGTAGTGGCGGCGGCAGCAGTATGAGCAGCCGCAAAAGCAGCGTCAGCAGCACTTCGGCAGCATCTTCCTCGGGTCCCTCTGCTGGAGGTGTTAGTGTTTACCACAAGGATAATTTGTCAGGATCGCCTCCCGGGTCTTTGCAGTCCTTGCGACTCCTTCAGGAGGTGCAGGGGCTGCCGGGATCTCACGGAACGCATGCAAGGCACATGATGTGTTTTCTGCAGCGTCTATGGTGGGCAAACTTGCGGTCTCGGCATCAGGAGATGCCTTTCCGTGCAGACCAAGACCCACGCGAGGTGCGGGGGGGGCCTTCCATCAATGAGCACGGGGCTTCTGTGGGGCCTCGTCATCTTGGCAGCAGTACAGAGCCTTCTACTCAGCTGGACTGCCCCTCCTCGGTGAATACAGACACCAACAGCGGCAGCAGTGTGTGTCCTCGAGCCCGTTCAGGGTCTATGACAGGGGGCTTGCTAAGCCGGTGGTGTTGCTGTGCTTCGTCGGGGGCCACGCGGCGCCACCGGAAGGCTGCCTTGTGCGTCAGCCGGGCTAGTTCCTGTCCAGGGAGAGTTGGGCATGTAGCTGCAGGTGAAGAAGGGGGGAGGGGGACGGGTAGGGGATTAGGAGAGAGGCGAAGGCCGCCTCTGTTTGGCCGTGCAGAAGGAAGGTGTGACGGATGCCTCCCCCTCAGAGGCAGACTTACAAAAGGAGAGCAGCATCACCACCCCCAACGTCATCACCAGGATTCAAGGGAGGC